TAGAAAGGTATAACCTTCCAAGACTGAACCGGGAAGAAATAGAAAATATGAACAGACCAATCACAAGTAGTGAAATTGAAACTGTGATTTAAAATCTTCCAAGAAACAAAAGTCCAGGACCAGATGGCTTCACAGGTGAATTCTATCAAACATTTAGAGAAGAGCTAACACCCATCCTTCTCAAACTCTTCCAAAAAATTATGGAGGAAGGAACACTCCCAAACTCATTCTAAGAGGCGACCATCACCCTGATACCAAAACCAGACAAAGATACTACAAAAAAAGAAAATTACAGACCAATATCACTGATGAATATAGATGCAAAAATCCTCAACAAAATACTAGCAAACAGAATCCAACAACACATTAAAAGGATCACACACTATGATCAAGTGGGATTAATCCCAGGGATGCAAGGATTCTTCAGTATATGCAAATCAATCAGTGTGATAAACCATATTAACAAACTGAAGAAGAAAAACCATGTGATCATCTCAATAGATGCAGAAATAGCTTTTGACAAAATTCAACACCGATTTATGATAAAAACTCTCCAGAAAGTGGGCATAGGCGGAACCTACCTCAACATAATAAAGGCCATATACGACAAACCCACAGCAAACATCATTGTCAATGGTGAAAAACTGAAAGCATTTCCTCTAAGATCAGGGACAAGACAAGGATGTCCACTCTCACCACTATTATTCAACATAGTTTTGGAAGTCCTAGCCACGGCAATCAGAGAAGAAAAAGAAATAAAAGGAATACAAATCGGAAAAGAAGAAGTAAAACTGTCACTGTTTGCAGATGACATGATACTATACATAGAGAATCCTAAAGATGCCACCAGAAAACTACTAGAGCTAATCAATGAATTTGGTAAAGTTGCAGGATACAAAATTAATGCACAGAAATCTCTTGCATTCCTATACACTAATGATGAAAAATCTGAAAGAGAAATTAAGGAAACACTCCCATTTACCATTGCAACAAAAAGAATAAAATACCTAGGAATAAACCTACCTAGGGAGACAAAAGACCTGTATGCAGAAAACTATAAGACACTGATGAAAGAAATTAAAGATGATACCAACAGATGGAGAGATATACCATGTTCTTGGATTGGAAGAATCAATATTGTGAAAATGACTATACTACCCAAAGCAATCTACAGATTCAATGCAATCCCTATCAAATTACCAATGGCATTTTTTACAGAACTAGAACAAAAAATCTTAAAATTTGTATGGAGACACAAAAGACCCCGAATAGCCAAAGCAGTCTTGAGGGAAAGAAAGCAGAGCTGGAGGAATCAGACTCCCTGACTTCAGACTATACTACAAAGCTACAGTAATCAGAGGAAACAAAATTGTCACTGTTTGCAGATGACATGATACTATACATAGAGAATCCTAAACATGCCACCAGAAAACTACTAGAGCTAATCAATGAATTTGGTAAAGTAGCAGGATACAAAATTAATGCACAGAAATCTCTGGCATTCCTATATACTAATGATGAAAAATCTGAAAGTGAAATCAAGAAAACACTCCCATTTACCATTGCAACAAAAAGAATAAAATATCTAGGAATAAACCTACCTAAGGAGACAAAAGACCTGTATGCAGAAAATTATAAGACACTGATGAAAGAAATTAAAGATGATACAAACAGATGGAGAGATATACCATGTTCTTGGATTGGAAGAATCAACATTGTGAAAATGACTCTACTTCCCAAAGCAATCTATAGATTCAATGCAATCCCTATCAAACTACCACTGGCATTTTTCACAGAACTAGAACAAAAAATTTCACAATTTGTATGGAAACACAAAAGACCCCGAATAGCCAAAGCAATCTTGAGAACAAAAAATGGAGCTGGAGGAATCAGGCTGCCTGACTTCAGACTATACTACAAAGCTACAGTAATCAAGACAGTATGGTACTGGCACAAAAACAGAAAGATAGATCAATGGAATAGGATAGAAAGCCCAGAGATAAACCCATGCACGCCCACGCACCTATGGTCAGCTAATCTATGACAAAGCAGGCAAGGATATACAATGGAGAAAAGACAGTCTCTTCAATAAGTGGTGCTGGGAAAACTGGACAGCTACATGTAAAAGAATGAAATTAGATCACTCCCTAACACCATACACAAAAATAAACTCAAAATAGATTCGAGACCTAAATGTAAGACTGGACACTATGAAACTCTTAGAGGAAAACATAGGAGGAACACTCTTTGACATAAATCACAGCAAGATCTTTTTTGATCCACCTCCTAGAGTAATGGAAATAAAAACAAAAATAAACAAATGGGGGGCTTCCCTGGTGGCACAGTGGTTGAGAGTCCGCCTGCTGATGCAGGGGACACGGGTTCATGCCCCAGTCCAGGAAGATCCCACATGCCGCAGAGTGGCTAGACCCGTGAGCCATGGCTGCTAAGCCTGTGCGTCCGGAGCCTGTGCTCTGCAATGGGAGATGCCACAGCAGTGAGAGGCGCGCATACTGCAAAAAAAAAAAAAAAAAAAAAAAAAAGGGCACAAAAGGCTTTTGCACAGCAAAGCAAACCATAAACAAGACGAAAAGACAACCCTCAGAATGGGAGAAAATATTTGCAAACGAATCAACGGACAAGGGATTAATCTCCAAAATATATAAACAGCTCATGCAGCTCAATATTAAAAAAACAAACAACCCAATCCAAAAATAGGCAGAAGACCTAAATAGACATTTCTCCAAAGAAGACATGCAGATGGCCAAGAAGCACATGAAAAGCTGCTCAACATCACTAATTATTAGAGAAATGCAAATCAAAACTACAATGAGGTATCACCTCATACCAGTTAGGATGGGCATCATCACAAAATCTACAAACAACAAATGCTGGAGAGGGTGTGGACAAAAGGGAACCCTCTTGCACTGTTGGTGGGAATGTAAATTGATACAGCCATTATGGAGAACAGTATGGAGGTTCCTTAAAAAGCTAAAAATAGAATTACCATATGATCCAGCAATCCCACTACTGGGCATATACCCAGAGAAAACCATAATTCAAAAAGACACATGTACCCCAATGTTCATTGCAGCACTATTTACAATAGCTAGGTTGTGGAGGCAACCTAAATGCCCATTGACAGATGAATGGGTAAAGAAGGTGTGGTACATATATACAATAGAATATTACTCAGCAATAAAAAGGAACGAAATTGGGCCATTTGTTGAGATGTGGATGGATCTAGAGACTGTCATACAGAGTGAAGTAATTCAGAAAGAGAAAAACAAATATCGTATATTAACGCATATATGTGGAACCTAGAAAAATGGTACAGATGAACTGGTTTGCAGGGCAGAAATTGAGACACAGATGTAGAGAACAAACATATGGACACCAACTGGGGAAAGTGGCGGGGGCTGGGGGTGGTGGTGTGATGAATTGGGTGATTGGATTTGACATGTATACACTGATGTGTATAAAATTGATGACTAATAAGAACCTGCTGTATAAAAAAATAAAATAATATTCAAAAAAAAAGTAATGTGCATGCTACCACATTATTTAAAAAAAAAAAAAAGAGCCAAGGTGGCTATAGGCTCTTTTAGTAAATGTAAGGAAAATGGGGTTTTGTGGGGGAGACAATTCTGCATGGGTCTTTCCTATTTTTGCATGTCTTGCAAGCAGAGGTACTGACTTTTCAAGGGTGTTTATATAGTGAACAACCTTGGAAGTAGAGATAGTGCCTTTTTCTGGAGCAAAGAACAGGTTTGGTTACTGCCCAGCTTGAAAGATTAGGGTTCCCTAAGCTCAGGGTTCCTCTTATAATGCAAATGACTGCATATGCAAGTATTCCCTGGCACCCATCCCTATAGCACCCATGGGACAGTGGGCCAAGAGGAGATGACACAGGTATGCTGATGCTGCTGTGCCTTGAGTAATGAGGTCCTTTATCTCCAACCCAGGAGTCTCATGTTTTTTTGGCAGCACCCATGAAAGTACAGCAGGCTAACTTGCAAGTAGGGTAAAATTTAAGACTCTCTACAGTTCTTGACAGTGTTGTCCCCATGAGATTCCTGGGGACTGGTCTGCTCACTTTGTTCTACCTCCCACCAAACTGGCTCCACCAAACTAGGAGATACCTGAAGGAAGAGACCCCATCGCCCCGCTTCAGACCTGGATGGAGGACCATATCATGTTCCCCTATCACACTGGTATCTCCTTGACTCCAGCAACTGTATGCCATCAGACTGAGACTCTCCAGATCTGGGTTTGCATCCTCTGCCCCTCTCCATACCCCTGACTCTGCCAACACACCCCACTGTCAGGCCAGGAAAAGAAGGAGTCTCCCAAGTTTCTATGATTTTATTTCCTTCCCCAGCCCCAGCTCTCACACACATACAGAACATCCAGGAGCTACACCCAGCTCTTGCCCGAGTTCTGCTTCCTACAGGACTTCACACCATGTCCTCTGCTTCTTGGAGCTAAAGCAATGTGCTGGAAGTCGGTAGGCTGGGTAGGCTGTCCTTCCCTGAGGAAGGACAGGGATAGAACAGAAAGAGAAAGTAGTGATGCAAATAAACAAATGCTTTAAGTGTTTTCTGTGGGCCAGGTAAAGTCTGGTACTGCACTGCCATCTCTGACTTACAGATAAAGAGACTGAGGGTCAGAAAGGTAATATGCTAAAGCTCAGAGAGATAATATGCTAATAGCTTTTATGTTTATGTGGTAAAGCTGGGATTTGATCCCGGTCTATTGGGGGCCAGAGTTGCTCTCTATCCCTTTAATACCTTCCCAAGAGAAAAGGTACTGTTTGGGGGTGGTTTTGGAAGCTCTAGAAAAGGCAACTATTCTGGGGTGGAACCCTATGGGCAGGTGGGGTTCTAGCCCCGCCCCCTTATAATCCAACAGAGGCCCTAGAGACCAGACCAAGTTCTGTGGGAACTCCCTCTCAACCCAGTGCCTGATCAAGGAAAGAGGGCAGCACAGCTTTGGGAAGAATGGATAAACACGGTGAGTGGGGCTGGAGGACAGGGTCTCTTGACTCCAGGGTGGACCAATCAACACATCACCATGGCAACCCCAGAGTAGAAGCCCAACCTTTTCTCAGTTACCCATCCGTGTACAAGCCCTCTTCTCTCTCTCTCCTGAATACTCTTGACATCTGCTCTCTCATCTTCACCTGCTGCTGTTCAGATCTGTTCTCTGGCCTGGACCACTGTAATGATTCCTAAGTAGGTCTCTCTCTGTCTCCTTCTGTCAGAGGGAACATCCTAAAGGATGGCTCTGAGCACATCCCTGTGTCAAAACGTTCAGTGGCTCCCCACTGCTGAAGGACAAAGTCCAAACTCCATAGTCTGGGCCCCCAAATCCCAACCTTCCTTTCCAATTCCTCATCCTCCCCAAATGGTCCCAGCACCCTTTTCTGGCTGTGCACTACATCTGGCCTTTCACAACCAGAAGTCTCCTTCGTGTGTTTTCCTAAATAAAAGTACAGTGGACCTTGGGAATTCCCTGGCGGTCCAGTGGTTAGGACTCTGGGCTTCCACTTCAGGGGGGTACAGTTTCGATCCCTGATTGGGGAACTAAGATCCCACATGCCGCGCGGCATGGCCAAAAGAAAAAAAAAAAAAAAAGTACAGTGGATCTTGGTTCTCCACATTTAGCAATACCAAGAACTGGCAGAATGTTTGAAACAACTTTTCTTGAAAGGTTTCAAAAGTCTTGAAATTCAGAGGCCCCTCTGTTACCTACCACGTCACCTGCCTGAGAGGGTCGGGAAGATGAAGGGGCATGATGTATGAAGAGGTTAGCCCGGTGACTACGTGCAGTTGGTGCTCAATACATGTGGGCTGGAACACTATATTATCATTCTGCTTTGTCTCCAACCTCTTTAATCATGATGGGCAGGGATCAATAGAAAAATTTCTAGACCTTTCCAGCGCAAACCCCAGGAATTGTGTCTTCCCTGCCCTCCTCCCCCTTTTTTTCATTACAAGTCTAGCTTCCCAGATCGAGCAGCCAGCAGGGCACATGGTGGGGCTGGGTCAGTGTTTTTTTTTTTTTTTT